CATGGTTTAGTGGTGGCCTTGGCAGTGCTGGGTTAACGGTTGGACTTGACGATCTTAAAGGTCTTTTCCAACCTAAACAATTCTACAATTCGCAGACACTACCTACAGCCTTGCCCACAGACCTTTTTGGCTGTCTTGCTCATCACTACAACTGTCAACCAAATTTTGTGCAACTGTGTCATGAATAAGCCTTTATGAAATCATAAAAAACTTTTCAAGATAAAAACTATGCTAAATGCCTGACTGATATGGTGAGTAAACCCATCCCACCTCACACCTATTCATTACATAACAGTAGTGTTTCAGTAAGTAGTGGGTTTCCAGCCACATCAAAAGTGGCCACAGCTTTATGTGCAATCAAAATTAAGCAGCTTACTGATATTGCTGGTTAAGCAAGAGTAAATATTGCTTCAAGCGCACTGCTTTGCCGCTCTTAGGATAAACAATGTGTTCCATTCATTACCAAGCAGACTAGTCAGGAAAGAGCAGGTTAAGCTAACTTGTTCATAACACCAGAATTTCAGTGTTCTTCTAGAAGAGACATACCACGAAGTACTCATTGTTGCAAAGCGTGCAACTCACGAGATTTTAAAAAAAATTAAAACCCCAATTCTCATATTGGACTTTTTAGCAAAATTGGAAGGAGTTTCATTTTTTCTGTCAAGAATAAAATGACAAAGTATTGTTACAGATACTTCACCTAAGGAGAAAGTTAAGGCTTGTTTTTCAGGCGTTTCCTTTTCAAAGGCAGGCATGAATTTAAAGTCACGGTCTGCTTAAGACATTACATCTCAGATTTACTCTCTGTGTTGCAAAAGGTGCAGACAGCTAAGAAGCATTTGTGGCAAGTTAGTGTATTTAAGACTTGGTAACATGAGATGTTCTAGTTTCACAACAGAGCTATACGCTGCTCTAACGAGTATTGGTATTTCTGCAACACTTAGCAGCGCTGTCATTATTAGAGCTTTCCTGTAAGGCAATACAAATAGGAGTATTAAAAAAAAAGTAGGAGGTTTGGATCATCCACAATATTTTGATATAAATAAATCAAAAAGAAAGAGGGAGAATTAATCTGAGATCAGTCACGCTCTTAAAGAGCAAAGGCCTCTGTCAGCCTTGGATCTGCTCCTCTGTTTATTAGTAAGAGAAACAGATCCATCTTCTGATTCCTTTGCCGAGAATGCCAGTCAGCAGCTCCTAAAGAAGAGCAGACCTCTTCCAATACCATTTTTTTTTCTCCCAAGGAAGAAGCTCATTACCACCTGCCAGCCATCGGCTAGTACAGATTTGGTTTCCTCCAGCCCATCACCTTGTTCCTTACGCTGGAAATACAGCAACCGTTCCTACATTCAACTCCTCCATTACTGAAAGCAAAATCCAAAAATTTTAAAGCTTATTTTATCTGCTATAGCTGTATTTCTTTGAACTCAAAGGTATACTTGGAAGAGGTAGTCCAGGAGAAAAGGGTTTCAAGTACCAAAATCGGTATGTCCCGTACCAAGCTGACAGACCTATCAGCACACCGAGAACCTTTTGACTGAAGTCATGGAAATACACGGCGGTACAGAGAAACATGAACACCCAGATCATGGCGAGAAAACACAAGGAAACAAACAGGCCGTTGATCACAACGCGCAGCTTAGAGTTCTGGTCTATGGACAAGCCTTCCAGCACAGCCACTTCCTCCACAATCATCAGAGCACAGTACGAGAGCAGAAAACAGTGCCCTGAGATATCAAAGCCATTCCAGATGCCGTTGTTCTGGTGGCACTCCTGCTTGGTGGCATACGGCCGGCGGGGCTCGCTGAGTTTACCCGAGGTAGAGCACACGCCGGTGAGATTCTCGATATACATGAAGAGTCCGGTGCAGACGTACCAGACGGCGGTGCCCACTAGCAGCGCACTGAGACGCCGCAGCACGGTCAAAATGCTCTTCGTGGGACCGTAGAGGAACTTGCTCTCGGCAAACTGGTAGGTGGTGACCGCGATGAAGGGCAGCAGAAGCCAGAACGTCCATGCCCAAGCCACCTTCACAAAATACCTGCCAGAGAGAAGCCAAAAGAGAAACATGCATGTGTGAAACTTCACAGGAGTAAGCGGCGGTGCTTGAAGAAGCAGGTTTTCAAGGTCAGTGTTCAGAACCATCTAAATTAGACACTTGTGCCCCCCCCTCAAAGCAAAGCATAGCTAAAATCTTAACCCTCTCTCCACCTATCTCTCTGAATACTTCCTCACCCAGGGACTTCAACGGTCTCCCTTGGACCTAGAGCCCTCGTTCAGACTTGCAGTTCAGTTTCGCAATCGCTTTTACCCTACAAACCCGCCCAACTCTGCCCTACTCAAAATGCAGCTGCAAAGGACGTATTTTTAGCCTGCCACCCTGACCACAGTAACCCCTTCTCTGACTCTCTTTCTCCATCTCAGTTATCTTTGTTTTCAAAGCCCTGCACAACCTCAGCCTCTCAATACTGAACAGGACAGCCAGAAGGGCTGACTCTTTTCCCTAGTCAGCCCATGAAGCTTTTCCTCCATCATCACCTTATAAAATAAACGAAGCAGCGCAATGTGTTTGTTCCTTTGCTGTCCCTCCACCTGGTGAGAGCTTTCCTTTGGCATACACAAATTCTCCCAATTCACTCTCTGCCTTGAAAATTTTTGCTGTGATGCCTACAGAATCTTGAAAACCAGCTGATGATGTGCCGATATCCTGTTTAGCAGGAAACAGTATTGCGTAACTAGTCCTCTTTTCAAATCTTAAAGTGAATTTACTAACGAGTTAAGGAGACCATAGTCTACGATCTTCTTTCTCCCATCAGCACCTTCCAATGCAGCTTGCTTCCTATCAGCCCCCGCGTTACCCTCATTCCGGTTTGAAAAACAGAGCCAGCAGAATTCTGGTCAGTGGCCGAGCTACAGCTAAACACAGTCAGCATTTAATCAGCACCTCAGCATCAAAGACAAAACCAAGCAGGAACAGAGTTCTGCATCTTCATTAAGACCCCAACAAAAACTGTCAGGGCCTTGCCCAGGGTTTTGGGAGCACCTCCTCTTCTCTTAATTTTATAGTAGGAGTGGCATTTGTGAGGCAACTACAGCTGCTACCATGGAATAGTAATTGAAAATAAAATGCTTATTTTATTGAGACACTTAAAAGCAAAAAAAGGCTGTTAACATAATTGCTGCCAGCAAAACAGCAGGCAAGTAATTTGTGGGGAAAAAAATTGCCTCAGGAACTGTCAGTACAGATAACCCTCTTCTATTTAAAAAGGGAGAACTGGACTGTAGTATGGTTTTACTGTAAAATCAATTTCACTCTCTTAAGTCTTCCTGCCAATCCTTCTTTTCAATCACACTACGAGCAGCTCCTCTCCCACACGTCACCAAACGACAAATTCGAATCAATAAAGTACAAAATTCCCTGAGTCACAGGGGAAAACAGCAATTTTACCTTCACCTTCTGATCTGTAGCAGGGAAAGCACAGGTGCACTGGCTCAGCTCATCGCCTTCCTCATGCCCTTCAAAATGTTCAAACGTAGTTTTAAAGAATGACTAAGCCAGTGAAATCATTGCCTAAGCACTAGAAAAGGACAGCAGTAACTCTGCTTTTACAAAAGAGGCTAAAAGGCTTCCTTTCTTCAGCTTGTTTTGAGATCAGTTCAGTAACTAGCGGTTTACTCAAATATGAGGAATTATCTGAGAGCTAAAGAAGGAAATAAATTCCTTCTTTTCCTCTTCCAATAAAAACTGAGCAAGAATTCATAGAATTGGAGTCACAGAATTCATAGAATCGTTTTGGTTGGAAAAGACCTTTAAGATCACTACATCCAACTGCTAACCCAGCACTGCCAAGGCCACCACTAAACCATGTCCCCAAGCACCACATCTCCCCGGCTTTTAAATCCCTCCAGGGATGGGGACTCAG